ATTCTACGTGGAAACAAAAACATTGAAGAAAAAGAACTGGAAAGGTATAAGCAGGGCAGATGCATTTGGTAAGGCTACTGAGGGAAGGTTTGTACTGTATATATTTCCACAAAATACAAACGTTACCAGAGTGAAAACTAGTAACCGCAAAGTTAATTTACAACTGAATACAGAATACTGAAGGATTTTGATTCAAAAATACTTTACATCCTTTAGAAAGTTCAAATGTAATTTCTGATTACTTTCCATGCCTTCAAAGAGCACTGCTACTGCACTTTACTTTCTGTTCTTTCATGCCTCCTTAGGCAGATCCCTGTTGTGAGCTCCCTGCCTGATTATCTGTTAGGCCTTCGACTAAGAAAATTTTGCTATTCTTAGTAAATATTCCAGCAAAAGGACAGGACAGATCTGTCAGACCCCATTAGCAGGGAATATCCAGTTAAAGCTTCATAACATCAGGCCAATCTTACAAATTTAAGATTCAGGTTTGAGAACAAGGACAATATTAACAATATAATAATAAGATACTTGTTTTTTGGCCGTGCAATGTTTTTTTTAGCTTTGGAGAAAGCAGGTTTCATTCCCTTACACAACTGCAGAAGACTGGTGTTGAAGAGCAATGCTATAGTCTAACAGGAATCACCAAAAATAGTAATCAATACAAAAGGCATCAATTTGGTTCATACAGAGAAAAAGGATACAGTACATCACTCCTGTCTTGAGATTCTCTTCCAGTATAGTACTCAGTTTATTGCACATTCAATACCCCATGGCATATCATGTAGAAGTAAAGTAACAAATCATTACACTGACATGGAACAAATCAAGGTGAGATATAACAAACCAATTGTTCTTGTGGAGAGCTGCAGTCTAGGGTATCTGCAACACTTTTGTATATACGGAACATTTGCTACAACTGTGTCTGCTAGTTCTCAACAGTTCTCTGTTGCAGTAAAAACAAAGGCTACGGCAGTTGAAATATTCTCTGCTGTTTTTTCCCCATCATGATATCGGGACATTTTTAAAAAATCCATTTTGAGTTCAAATATTATGCCTATTCTCACTTTTGTGCTTGTATATTTCTTTAACAGTCTGGGCATGCACAAATGCACAAGAAGCTTTTGCAAGACATAGTTCTGCATCCAAGCTAAGTGATTCCATTTTTACGCCTCTCTTTTGCTCACTTTAACAAATGAGTGGGAGCAGTGTTACAAGGTGGCAATGACCGAATCCATCTGAAAAAAACAACACGCAATAACAAAACAAAGAAGCTGAAAGAATTAATAAAAGCTGTTTTTTTGCATGTGGCCATAGACCCTTAATGTGAATTAAATGCTAGGTGCTAGTGTTTCTGCACTGCAACGTTTCGGTAAACAGCTTTTCAAGGTGTTGAGTAGCAGTATGTGCTAGGATCAGTGTTGTAAAAAAAAAACACATTTTTCAAATACTCAGACCTACAGCTGCTTTTCACACTAAAATAAGAACAGAACGTTTCACTGCAAAATTCAAACCAGCCACATTATAATAACAGATACTATAAAGTGCACATTTAGTTAAACTAGAACATCCATGATGGAACCCTGGAGTTTTTGTGCAGCAGTCTCTCTTAAGAAGTGGTCTTGCAAAGACAGCTGTTTGTTAGAACAAAATGTAAAGAAAAAGTCTATTTTAAATCTCACAACGTTAATGTATTCCACTGTGATTGATGTTTTTTCTACAGGGGTTCCTTCACTAGACTTTTTTGGATATCAATAATTTATTTTTATAGCTTAGAGTACTGAAGCCTTTAACACTTTCATCCTTTGTGCTCAGGTGATGTGTTTCTCAAAACACAAATTCCTTAATCCCCTCTGACAAGTGGTTTTCGCAATTTGCTGTGTGAGCCTAGAGATCTGATGTGCTTGATAAAAATACATAATTTTCAAGTTGTGGCAACTCAGGTTTCATCTCAACATAAATCCTGCAATAAATAAAACATCCATACATCCCTGACTTACTCATCTCATGGTTATTACTGACATGAGAATTTAAACAAGAAAGTATCATTTTTAGACGACAGAGTGGCCATTGATCAGCTAGCTTCTGAGTTGTATTATAAAGGCAGAGCTTTTCTTTTAATTGGAATTGATCAAACATTTTTTTTTCCTCTGACTGAACTGACACTAATGACAGCTAAAATGGGAGTGAATTGCAATCTGGCTTCACACATCAAGGATGAGCACAATTTCTGCTCTCCTCCTGAAGCTACTGATTGCAAATTAACACGTAGCATCATGACTGGGCTACCTGCTGGGGGCTTGTTATGCTTTGAGCATTCAATTTTCTGGATCATTTAAAGCCTAATGTGAAGCAAGGATTATTTATTTCATTTTTTTTTTGTAGCAACTAATCACCCTAATCATAGATTTAATCCAATTTGCCTGGACTTTATAAATCACATGATAAAAATTATTTTTACAAAAAGTCTCTGAAACTCTAGCTACCAACAGATATTAATTTGGTTTCAATTTCTTCCCTCTGTAAAAAGCAGTGCACAAAAACATTCCACCCACAGAAGTCTCTTTAGGTTACACTAAATGATCTTCAATCCTTTATCTTATTTCAGGGTACCTGCATATTATGGCACACATGCAAACAAGCTCCATTCAAAACCTTATACTGACAGGTGGCATTAATGAGGACAGAGAAAAGCATGCATGTAGCAAAATGTAATCTAGAAATATAACATGGGATACAAAGTGCCTGAAGAATCTACACACACAGAAAATGTAGGTGTTTTTGTTGAAACCATTTTTCTCCTCTGCACTACTGTATGTGGAGAAAAAATAAGGTACAAACACATGGAGTCAAAATCACAGGATTCAAATCAAGTTAGATTAAAATTATATAATAAATAATAATAAAAATATATAAATCAGTAAGACTTAATTTAGAATATTGTACAGTTTTGACCACCACTTTACAAAAAACATTGCTGCTCTGAAATCAATCCAAGAATATCTATGTACATTCCCAGTCTTTAGAAAATCTCTATATTGACAGGTTAAAAAAAAAGGAAATGTCATTAACCTTGAGTAGAGAAGACTACAAGTGGACATTATTCAATTGATTCGAACACTCAAAACTGAATCGCACTGAGAATGTTAACCCAAGGGACTTTCAGGACCAAAATACATTTAAGAGTGAGCACAAGAGGTACTTCACACAGAGGGTTTTGGGAGATAACCAGTCATGTTACTGAAGCGGATAGTTGAATATTGGAGAACTTGAAGCAAGGACTGGTTTGATTAACTACTAGCAAACAAACATACAAAGAAGAAGTGGCAATTTGGCCTGTCAAGATCATTAGGTCTTTAGTACTGTAGCTCATTGATCCAAGGATCTCATCCAGCCGTGTCTTGAATCAGCCTCGACCACATGGATGGGCATCTTTTTCCAGATTCCAACAACTCTTTATGTAAAGAAGTGCCCGTGCCTACATTTCAATTTTCAATTGCACTTCCTCGTATTTTCCACTTGTGTGCTGTAGTTCAAGCTTCAGTGTAGATTCTGAAGAGGAACACTCGATTGACTTTGGGGATTATGAATACTTAAATTTGGTGACTTATGAATCACTTTATCTTTCTTATGTTCCTATGTCTCAAGAAAACGCTCAGAAAGCTAAGGTTATTTAAGAAATTAACGATTAGAGTAATGTATACAATCACCAAAAATGGCCGCCTTCAGATATTAGGTTTCAAACTGTACTTTATCTGTGGTCTTGCTTATTTTGATAGACCTATACACATTTTTGTTTAGTGTGACAGCAAAATATGCCACCTTATTTCTGTCATACAGTGTTTAAATAATGGACAATAGTAAGTTGAGTTATGTTTTTTTTTAATCTACCAATTCATAATGCAGGAGTCTTAATATCATCTGCTTTAAAACTTAAAGCCTTGCTGTTCTGTATCCTTCTTTTGGCCTTCAGTAATTTCGCAGTATAAGAGCTGTTAAACATATCCCCCATGGAGGTGTTCTGTGGCAGCTTTGTGAATTTAACAGATGCTGCAGCAATCTAAAAATCCAAATCTAAGATGCTGAGACTATCACACCTGCACAGTGAATTCAAATTCTCTCTATAGTCATGGGGGGGTGGGAATGTGCAACATCTTCTAGCATTAACACAAGAGACCTCTTATTTTCACCTGTAAGTATCATGATGTCATAACATCTAAGCTGCAAAAGTGCAGCAATTAAGGCCACTGGTGTCCCAAAAAAAATCATAAACAAGGGAATGTTTAACTTCTATCTCTGACTGTCCTGTCTTTTTAAAAGTAGTAATCAATTGCCTTCATGGTCTGTTTCTCTTTCTGGCGTCAATATAAATATAGCTCAAGAAAACAGTATTTTCCAGAGTGCTACTGTTGCGCTTTACAGTGATAAATACCTCTTTTGGCTTAGGCAATGCAGCCCGTGTTGTGTTTTTCTGCTATTCTGTGATAAAGCGATGCTAAATACTGAAAACAAATAACAAATAAAACTAATAGAGCACAAAAATGTGGACTTTAGAAGGAGTTTTTGTCACATGAGTTATTGTAACACTTTTCTATTCCTTGCCATCAGCAGCAAACCTGTTCAATGAGACTGATAAAGGGGACAGAGTCCGCTTGATGCATATTAAAAGGTAGTTCACAGAAAAACAACAAAGTACAGGATCCCTGTGCTCCGAACAAGGAGACAGAACACAGAAATTTGGTGCTCACAGGGAATCTGTGAAGGACAGATCTGACTAAGACAAGGAGAAGTCATTGATCCGCCCTTGAGAAAAACACATAAACTTGAATTCAAAGGCACTTGGTGACTAGAGCCTTTGCAATACATAGCCCTGGGGAAGCTAATAAGAGAGAAACGTGGACATGAGGAGGCATAGAAATGAGCAAGATGTCACGGCTTAATATAAGCTTACCAACACAACACACAAACAACTCTGTACTAAGATTCAATAAAGTAATCCTTACCTGTGAGGAATCTTCTTTATAATCCCCAGCACAAACATTCACAGATACTAGAGGGAATAACAAAAAAAGGGCTTGAGTCAATAACTTGATGAATTCAAATTTTAGAAGCCCAAGAAAAAAACAAAGGAATGAGACAATGCCAATAAAAACACACGAATGCCCTTCCTGTTGAGTGCTGGGAAAAGCAGCGACCCTGAAAAATAAGATGAGTGATGAAGCCTTTCAGAGCATGATTATTAGCCTCTTAAAATGACCCACAGTTTTTCCATTTTCCTACCCACCATTCATTTACAAAAGTAAAACACAACAATTCTGAACAGCCACTATACACTGAATGGCCCCACAAAACCCAGAAAAACGTTAAATTACTCCACAAATTAGACAATTCGCACACTTAAACAATTAAAAACTTCAGTGTAAGGAAGTCCAGAAAACCCTCTGACATTGGAATTTAAAAGAACAGTTGCACATACAGACACCATAGTGCCTGTTACAGAAGAGGCCCATTAAACACAATCTGTTAACATCATCGTGAAGTGGGCTTTTAAAAAAAATATCTTTTTATTGCCTTGAGGTAGAAATCTCATCAGTCTGCATCAGTCATTGTTTCTTATTCCAAAAATAACCAGGGATTATCTTTACAATTAGAGCAGAGGGGAAAGACAAAAAGAAACGTTGAGCACAGTAAATCCCATTCAATAAGAAATGACTGCAGAGACAAAACAGTTAAAAACGACAGACGGCAAAGGGTAATTCTAAATGGAAAAGCTGGACGTTTGGTGAGACTGTGTTTAATACACTGATCAGATAACAACAGGGCGGGAACGTTTTGAGGGACAAAACTGAGTGGCTCAATCAGTAGTGGTACTTGTTTCGAGCACAGGCTGAATGCGACAGCCCAGCCACTGCTGGCTCTGCTAAGATGCATCGCAAAAATGACCTGGGCATAGCCAGAAAGGAGCAGGCTCAAGTCAGTCGGGGTTGACTTCATCCACCGTTCACTAGCAGTGATGCCAGTGAGAGACCTGTTACCATTCCACCCACAGGAAACTCTCTGGTGACACACACTGAGAAGCTCTAAGCTATCTGTTGACTCCGACAGGTGAGCGAATCAGACGGTTAAAGAACTTGTAACCAAGTAATAACTGGTGATTCAAAATAAAGAGGCGTAAAATGATAAATAACTCATAATTCCATGTTTTAAAAAATCTTTATGTATTATTTAAGAAATTACTATAACGTCAGCAGACTACCATACTATTAAAAATCGAGTATCTCATCTCAACTTGAAATTATAGTGAGTTATGTAACTAGATGCGTCACCTTCCTTATTCAGTATTCTGTGGGCAAAACCTATGTACTGTAACAGATTCACATCACACAAGTGAGACCTTTATTTTTGTTAACAATTCTGCACAGTAATCCACAGTGCCACTCAGAGAGAAGTCAGAAAAGAAGATTGCAAAGGAACCAAGAACAATAATGCAAAGCTTTTGAATGATTTTTCTTGATCCCTTTGTTGCGGTGCTGCAACCCTAAAAGCCACGTAAAAGCAGAAGTAAACAGTTTACAAGAGAATAGGTGTTTAATAACAGATGATAATAAAGGAACTGTAAACAAGTTAATGAATTTTTCATGCAGGTCTCTACGATAAAAAACACCAATAGAATGCTCCATGTTATAGGAGTTCCATCAGTTCTGGGTAGTCTAATTTTAGAACTGACACAAACATTCTGCAGTGGCTAGATAGCCTTACCAAGTAATACAATTCCAGGGTCTTTTGGCACTTCACAGTTGTACCTAAGGCAATGAGGAGTGTTATTGCTGACATTTCAACTCATAGAAAACATAGGAATAGTGATATGGCAACATCACTTGGAGATCTGCAGTTGACTGATTTCTGAAAAAAAAGAAAATGAAGTGAACAAGGAAACTAAACACTGATCAGTCATATTTCTGTTACTGGGGACATTATGGAAACGACATTAAAATCTGAATTAGAAGAACAGTTACAAACCAACAGCATATTAAAAGCCAAATACCATTTAGAAAGGTCTTGTTTAATCTTTATAATTTATTTCAAGCAAGGAACAGGGTCAGTGGATTATACTAAAATATGCAAATTTACATATTCAGATTTCTAGAAAGCGCTTGATAATCCTTGCATAAAAATTTAGGACACATATTATACACCAAAGGAACCCAAGGTTATGTATCCACACAGACTGAGAGCTGATTAACTAACAGGAAACACTGGATGATCTTAAGGTATATATCCTCTGATGGGCAGATATAAGCAGTGGGGTGCTGCAGTGATCTGTACCAGGCCCATACAGTAGGTCTTCATTATCTACACCAGTGATTTATATTCTAGTACAATTCGCAAATAAGCAACATTTGAGATTAAAACAGCAGGTGGGTGGCAAAAAGCAGCCAGGGAATTGCAAAAAGAAAAACAGGAATCATGAATGATTAAGACACTTGCCACATGAATATATCATCAATAAGAGCAAAGGGAAGTTATGCCCAAATTAATCTACACACTAGTAAAGGCTTTGTTAGAATATGTTCAGTTCTGGTAACCAAACCACTATATAAAAAGGATATTATACCTTTGTAATGATTTGAAAGAACAACAAGTAAGCTTCCTAGTCTCAGAGGTTTGTCAATTTGCAGACAGACTATAAAATCTTAATCTCATCTAGAACACAAGAGATTGAGAGAGGAAAATATAAACAGTGTAAACCCAGGAGATTATTTCACACTTTGTACAGAAATGAGGACATGAAGGTACAATTGTAAACTATAAGGTATCTATTAAAGGCATAGACCGCAAACACTCATTTACACAAAAATATGCAAATATCCTAAATATAGGCCCATTAAAGAAATGACTGGATGAAATTTAAGATTCATTTGGCTACTTAAAATACCACATGAGCAAAATTGACTGAATAGCTTGTTTTTGGCTTATTTATGGTCATTCCTACAAATATGGTACTTTCATATTCTTTAACAGTGATACAAACCTTTAAAAACACACCAATACACCGAAAGCAAATCACTATGCAATGTCCCCAAAACACAGAACTGGAACTAATGGCAACATGTAGTTCAAGAATGTTGTGAAGAGGGAACTAGTCTTATCAACTCTCACATCTTAAGGTCTGTTTTATGTTGAAACTTAACTTAAAAAGACTCCCACCAGACATCAGGAATTTGCACAGTATTTTGTTCATTCCTTATCCCAAAGACGGATGCTTAAATACCCTTTAATATTATGTTAACCAAGCTGAACACAAGCTTTGTGGTAATCTAGTGTTTTCTCTGCTGCTACACAAACCCTGTGGACATTCAAAGAACCTCAAGTTCCAATACATCCTCTCACAAAATTTTCATTAGCACAGAAGATATGCATCAATATCTCAGGGCTCTCAGCAGGCAATTTTCTGCATAACAATCCTTAAACAATACGAGACCAAAGAAGAGATAAATGCAGCTGTCAGTTTCAGCAGGCAAACACATGAAATAGCTGGGATGGAGCATTAAACAGATGAGGAATAGGGAAGGAACACACAATTATGGAGATTTTTGTGCACATTTGTCTGACTCTCTAAAGAATTGTTACTCAAAGAGGTGGCAGGAAGGGTAAGTATATAATTAAAAGTAATTAACTTGAAACAGAGACAAAGCTCCCTCTCAGTCTTTACTTCTAATGAAGCACAAGAGGAAAATAATGATTAAATACAATAACAAAACCTCACTGCAAACAGTAAAGTCGAGTATGCAGCAAAAACTATTTAAGCAGGCAGCAAGAGTACCTGTATACCAGTCATTTAAAAATAACACTCCGTCACAGCAGAAAGTCTGTGTTTTACACAGTTGTCAAAAGCAGGCTAACCACAGGACAAAAATACCACAGGCTGGCCAGTACTGATAGCTGTGTCTTTGTGAGTAATATTATTCGGAGTTATGAAATAAGATATTTTGAAAGCTCCTTAAGATTGGAAAACATGCATGTCTGGGAGTTCTTACTATCAGAAAGAAAGACATAAATCTTAATAATTAATGAAGTATTCTCCAACATTTACAGCCAGTGAACACCTGCTGAACAGGGGGGCATAAGAAGAGCTTAAGACCAAGTGCTATAGGAAAAAAACACTGTAGCATTGGCCTTCCAAGTTTCTTTCAGACCTGATTCTACAAAGCATACCTTTGCTTAAAAAGTGTACTTAAAAATGTAGGCCTACAATATAGCCAAGTTTGCTCCTTGTTCCAGTACATAAGACACAAAAGTACAATCTCATCATGCGAGTCCCAAGAGCAAGGGTGTCCGGAAAAATGGAAAATGCCATTGGTTGTCACTCAAGTGAAGCCTGCAATCTCTCAGACAGACATGATGAGTAGGGCTGGAAGCACCGCTTTTGACATCTAGTTTGCTGAACCCATTTTAATGGAATATTTTAGATTTTTCTTTCCAGGGGATACAAAATTACATCGTACCCCGAAGTAACTAGAGGCTACGCTCTTTGGTAACCATTTAACTCACAAAAGAGAGGATCGTCTCATTGATGTGTATTGTTTCACCTATATTTTCTACTGATTTTATGATCTGGATCCTAAACTATTTTAATGAAAAAAACTCTTATCCAATTTGGCTTCTTTAGTTCAATTTCACGGTCAATTTCACAAATTATGAAAGAAAAAAACTTTAATTTTTTATTCTTTCTATAATCCTACATGCAGTGAACAGTTGTCTCTTTAACCCCCTTTTCCTTTACTGGAATCATTTTTCTCCAGTGCACTTATTCCAGAACATTAAAGACCATGTGATGGGATATCCAAGTGCTTTTTGCCTTCCATTTCATTCCATATAAGCTCTTCACACAAGGGACATGAACTAAATGTAATGTAATTGCTTCGCGTTTGGGCTTTTAATCTGATAGCTACCGTAAAGATTCTCTAAGGGAGCTTCTGGAAAGGGAGGTACACATAGCATGTTAATGCTATTGATTACAAGTGTTATGATTCTAAAATATGAGCTTAA